ATAATATACTACAAATTCATCACCAAGGTTGTCTGCACCTTCACCTGACACTGGATCCCATGCCCGTGGTCTGTTTTCTTCAAACACGACATCTCTTGAGACATGTAGCCTTTTTAACACTGGATCATACATACGATATGCCTTTGTACCATCCTCATAACCGATAAACACCATTGGCATGCTGCGATCAGCAAGCTTCTTCACATGTGGATGCACCACCTTGACATGTCCAACACAACCAAACGTGCGAAGATGACGTACACTTGGTTTCTTACCGTAGAAAGCTTCATATGGTGTTTTACCGATAACGCTCTTTGTCGGTGAACGGTTCAGGAGATAAATTGGAGTTGACACGGCTTCTCCCCAAAACCTTTCAGGCATTCTCATGCTCTTCAACAAGCTTCTTGCCATAGAGACCACCGTCTGGTTTCGTCGTTCCACCACACCATTCTGTTGTGGTGAATATGGCGCGGTGAGGAACCTCTTGATGCCCAAGTTCTCACAATACTCGTGGAACTCATGAGAGGTAAATTCTCCTCCTCGGTCAGTGCGGAACGCCTTCAGCTTAGCGTTCGTCTCCATTTCAGCACCAATTTTTATCTTCTTGAATGCGGCAAAAGCTTCATTTTTATTTTTGAGAAAAGCAACCCACATATATCTACTATGATCATCAACAACCAATAAGAAATATATTTTACCTCCTGGTGTTGCTGGCGTTACTGGGCCGCATAAATCTCCATGCACAAGTTGCAGCGGTCTGTCTGCTTGGTAGGATGCTGCCGTCGGAAACGGCGCACGTCGTTGCTTGCCAATCATGCATCCATCACAAATCTGATTAATATGTTGAATGAGGGGCATACCTTCCACCATTCCATGGTGTGCTAAGTTATGTAGAGCTTGAAAATTGAGATGCCCAAAACATCCATGCCATAGCCATGCATCTTCCTTGATGCATGCCAAAAGACACACAGGCTGTGTCAGGTTCAGGTTGAGTACGTACAACCTGCTCCTTGTCCGCTTCACTTTAGCCAGTATCTTCCTGTGGCGGTCGTAGATATACATAAATCCATGCTCAAGAACTGTTCTGCAACCATTCTCATCCAGCTGACCAAGGCTCAATATGTTACTGCTCAGACTCGGGATGTAATATACGTTGATGAGGACACGATGCTCCCCAGTTACGCATTGAAATAATATAGTTCCGCGCCCACATATCGCCACGGTGGAGTCGTCGCCGAACCGGACAGTGCCTCGCACTGAAGTGTCCAACTCGTTGAACACCTCCATGCGTCCCGTCATGTGATTACTAGCTCCTGTGTCGAGGTACCACTCGGCACTCTTATCCATAGACCCTATTGTGGGAATCACCTTGTCTTCATTCAGCATGACCATGTCAGACACCTCCTCCGCACATGCCGAAAAGAGCAAAGCGGGCTCGTCATCTTGAGCCTGTGCGAGCTGCACTTCCTTGCCACGAGCACGACGTGGTTTACCACAGTCAGAAGAGTAGTGTCCGAAAATACCGCAGTTGAAGCACTCAATATTGCTCTTGTCACGGAACCCATTTGTCCCGCGACCACGGCCTCCTCTGCCGCGGCCAGGACCGCGGTTGCCTTGCCGGCCGCGACCGTGGCCACGACCACGGCCATCGTAGCCCTCATGACTACTACTGTTGTTGTTACACGATGACGATGCTTCACCGCCTCCATATTTTTTATCTCGAGCCACCCACTCGGATCGAGTAACTAGCAAGTGCTGCTCACCTTCCTTGTCACCACTGCCACGAATTCTCTCTTTGTGAGCTCTGAGACGACCAACGAGCTCCTCCATGATCATAGTTTTGAGATCGCCAAACTGCTCGATTGAGGATGCAATTTGCAAAAATCTAGAAGGTACAACCCGGAGAAACTTACAGACGATAATGGAGTCTTCCACCTTCTCGCCCAACGCTCGGATGCCGTTGACAATCGTAGTCAACTTCATGGCGAAATCATCCACTGATTCGCTTTCCTTCATGCGAATCAACTCGAAATCACCTTTCAAGGTCTGAAGTTTCGCCTCCTGGACGCGCTCCGCGCCCATATGTATCACCTTGAGCGCCTCCTATGTCTTCTTGGCCGAGTCCTTCTCAGCCAACATTAGAAGTACATCTTCCGGGATACCCTGATAGATGACCGCAATGGCCTGTCTATCCATGTGCTCGTCTACGTCGTCCTTGATGACAGCATCCCACACACCGTGTGCTTGCAGGATCACTCGCATCCTCAGTGCCCACGAAGCATAATTGTTTCGTGTCAGCATTGGACACTATAGCGACATGCACTAGTAGAAAAAGAGGCTTCCGTCCAGCCCCATTAGTCGCGAAACTGTAGGAACCGCGACTAATGAAGTCTTTAGTCGCGGTTCGGCAGATGAACCGCGACCAAATGCCTGGGCCCAGGGCGCTCGCGGGCTTTAGTCGCGGTTGGCCAGGCCAACCGCGACTAAAGGTGCCCAAAGGCCTTTA